AAAAAAATGGGCCGCCGGAAATAGTTGTTTTATTATTACAACCCCGTTCAATTGCTTGGGCATCCGGGGACCGGTTGCAGGCAGAGCAGCTTTGGCTGCCGTGTTGAACGGATGTTTTCAGTTTGTATTCTCTGAGCTTACAGCCTTTGGCTTGCCTCAGCGCGACGATTACGCTTGGTTGCGCCATGATGAGTTTCATTCCTCCCAGCCAAGCAGAGCAGCTTCGGCTGCTGTGTTGAACGGATGTTTTCAGTTTGTATTCTCTGAGCTTACGCTTGGCATGCCTCAGCGCAACGAATGCATGATGAGTTTCATTCCGTCCCAGCCAAGCAGAGTGCTGTGTTGAACTCATGTTAGAAGTTTCGCGGAGTAGTCGAACAAGGGCAGTGTTGGCGGTGCCTGGTCCTCGGGAGTGACAACGAGTTTGTCAACAAGCCCCGCAGTGCGGCCTGCTGCCCAGGGCTTGGCTGCACTGAGCCTATGCCTTGTCATGCCTTGTCTATCCGTCGTTGCTTGATGCCGACGCTGATCCCACTGATTGGCATTGCGCGCACATGAGTGTTCAGACGTGTAGCAGTAGGGCTCCCGAAAGAAACTCTCGCTGCTCCGCCATCCGGAGAGCACTCTGCTAAAGAAATGTTTATTTGAGCGAGATGCTTGCGTGCGAAGCGGCCAGTCTGCGCCGAGGTCTTTCTTCGTCGTTCTTGGTGTGGGTCATGAGCTCGTGAACTCATGACGCCATCTGCAGTCCATGTTGCCTGGTGACAGGTGCAGACGATGTGTTTGTATTGCATGATGCCTGCTGCTTAACCACAGCTCGGCATGAGACTCGGCACACGGTGTCAGGGTGTGACGCTGTCGCAATCGAGGTGTGGGTCCTGTCTCGGGTGCGCAGCTCGGCCTTGCTGAAACGTTTCGACCTTGGACTTCCCCTAACACGCACGACTCCCAGCGCCACGGCACCGGTGAGATGGCCCTGGCGCGACGGCTGCGTCTGGGCGGCGTTTAGATTTAGGTCATTTTTGGGTTGGGGTTTTGGGTAGTGCCGCCCTTGCTTCAGGTGGTCGATGTACTGCAAAGCTGGAATGGCGATCTTCGCAACATCTGCCTGGAATCCCAGGGTGGTGCGGCGTCCATTCCTGAAGTTGCATCTGCCAGACGCAAGAAGCATCTGCCCAAAGCAGAGCGTTAGCACAGAAAGCACGGGAGCAAAAGCATCGATCCGAAACCCCGCCTTCGTTCGCTCCACAGAAGCCTGAAGCCAAGGCCACGACGGCCGCGTCCTTCTTTGCCAACCTGGCCAGGTCTTTTCCTTGGCGAGATGGTGGAGTCACCCAAGGGTCACTGAGAACTTCTGGCTCGGGTCATGTTTCGGTGGCGGTATGTTCAGAGGGTCGAGATGCATTGGCCAAGATTTGTATTGGATGCAGCCAGCGCCCAGTTCCATTGGTCCTTTACGGCAATTCGGCTTCTTCATGGGCACTTGCATCACTGCAGCTTGGCTGATTCCTTCAGACAGAATTTGCCCTTCTAGCTCACTGTTACTAGCAGTTCTCTTGGTCGCACTCTGAACTGTTGCTGCCTGCGAGGTTAACTGGATCCTTGTCGCGGCGATGCGGCTGGGCAAGAGTTTTCTATAGTGTTCAAGCAGGGATGACAGCGCTTTGCGAATCCTGTCGAACTGTTCTTCGATATGAAGCAATAGCCCAGGTACCCGCTCATCCTCGTGAACTACGAACGTTCCACCTGCAAAGGTGTCTTGGACTGATTTTGCAGTATGTGCTCGAGAGTATGTTTCAACTGACTCTAGATCATGCCGCCTTACACGAAGCCAGCTTCTGTTTGAGGAGCCTTGATCGAAGCCGAGCAGTCCTCGCCCATGGAGGTCCAGACTCAAGCAGCATATGAAATGGAGCGATTCTAGTTCATCCATGCGGCATCGACGCATCGCAGAGGTTTCCGTTTGAAGCAAGTGGCCGTACGGTCTCGCGACATCTGCTTGCCCGCGCAGGAGCAGCTGGTCGACAGCCAGGGAACGGACCTGGACTTGGAGGAAGCGGCGAAGCATGCACCAGTCATGTACGAGCCACCCCCACGAGCCTCATGGGAGGAGGTCTCCGGATGCTCTCCAGGCGCAGATTCTTTCCAGTTCTGACTTTCTTTAAAGCGTTTTCGCAGTAACTTGCGTGTCTTGAACAAAGGGGATGTCGTCCGGCGAGCCTCCTCGAAGGCGAGAACTTCGCACGAGCTTTGCACATGAAGTTCAGAACCGAAGTTTAGCCGCCTCCAGGGCACACTCGGAGGTGGCCTGGCAGTTAAGGCTCGTCTTTGGAGAGTTGAAACCAGCTGAACTTCAGAGCCGTAAGACGGTTCTGACTCTAAGCAGATGCTGGCACTCTGCATCAGCTTGCTGGGCATGGGCGCTCGGCACTCAGAAGACCGCGGGGACCGCTTTGCATGACAGCTCAGAGCTCAGGGGAGTGTTTACGCTCTTCAGTCAGCTGCCTGGGGCTAAGGCTTAACTTGATCGGACCCAGCAGGGACGTTTAGCAGCCATCTGCTCAGGTTCGCAACCTGCGCCCTTCGAATGGTCTGCCGAAGTTCTTTCCAGAGGACAGCGTACGCGAGCTGATTCCAAAGCCGTGAAGTTGAGCGTCAATCCTGCAGGACAGCAATCTCGGCGGATTGCAGTTGCTTCAGATGTGACTTGACCTGATGTCCCGCGTGTTTGAGCCATGAAGCCGCATGCAGACCTCAGGCGCTTCGGCAACGAGACCAGCATTGAGTCGACGGAGAGGGGCCGGTTGACACTTTGCATCCCGAGTCCATGCCCATCTCTCCCTGCTGCTGAGGTAGGCGTAAGTCTTTTTCCGTCAGGCCGAGTGTTTGTAGGTGGAAGGACGCACGGCAAGTTGGCGCGATCGTGATGCTAGAGCCACGCTGAATCAGAAAGAGTTCCCTTGTGGCAAATGGATCTCCCGACTTTGCCAGTTTTTTTAGCATGGCAGGAGCTCAAGCTCTGCCACGGCAGGGCGCAGGATGCCAAGCTTGCCTGCGACACGGAGGGCAGGTGCGGGCCCTTTCCCCATGGGTCACGAGCTTGAAGTCTTGGGAAACTGGTAGACTAAGCTGGAAAATTCTGCAGTCCAAGGCCAACACCGACCGCGGCGCCGCCGACAGAGCCACCGCCGCTTCACCTGCGAAGAGCTCAAGAGACTTCAGGTGGAATCTCTCCGGGCTTCCGTGAAGTGCACAGGCCGGGCAACTTCAAACCTGCGATGCCCCGGCCATCACCGCCTCCACCGCCTCCACCGCCTCAGTCTCAGGGCCCGAGTGGATTCAACAACTCGGCGATCCTCGGCGCGTCGTCTGCCAGGCCACTGACACCGCATCCACCGCCTCCACCGCCATCGCCAAGCCACCCTCCTCAGCCACAGCCTCGGCCACAGCCAGCCTCTGAGGAGGACTCTCGGGAATTGGGAGAATGAGTCGGCAATGCGGGGAATGGCCGAGTCCGCAGCCGACGCTTCGACCAGCCGCGCCTTCTCAGAGGCGACACTGCAATGCCTTTGCTTCTTGTGTTCCATGCTCGTGCATGCATTGCTCGTCACATGCTTTCGTTAGGCCTTCGCCCCCGGTGACGCCTTCGTCGCCCTCAAAGCCTCCTCCAGCCGCTCTCGACTCATCTTGGAGGGGGGGGAGGGCATGGGGGCCACTGTGGAGCAGCTTCGACGGATCCGAGGCCCTGAAAAGCTTCGACCTGCAGCTCGAGGCCACGGCACCCCGAGGCCTTCGAAGAGATACGAAGCACCATAAGCACCCCCCCTGAGGTGAAGGGCCACTCCTCTGATGACATCCAGGCGTCTTCTGCAGAGGGTCGGCTAAGCAGACGAGCGCTTTCTGCAGGAGTTTGAGGATCTCGTGCGAGCCGGGAGCTGAAAGTCTCGCGCGCATCCCCCACATGCTCCCACATTGTGACTCATTTTATCAGGACCAGATCGTGGAGAGCTTGCAGCTTTCGCCCGATGACCTCAGCTTCGACATCAAGAAGGTTAAGGTGCCTGGAATCGGTTGGACACGGAGGAGACTCAGAGCTTAGCTCACAGGTGCTCGACGGGCGCCGTCTGCAGGGCCAATACGAGGCAGCCTCCGAGAGAATGCAAAGAAGCGGCTCTCTCTCTCTCTCTCTCTTCCTCTTCTCTCCTAGAGGTGACTCTTCATTTCCAGCACGTCACCCCAAAGAAGGCCAGTCCTTGTGTGTGGAAGTTCGAAGTGGAGCACAGCACACTGCAGTTTCAGGAGCGAGAGATTCGGGAGTACCTTCGCCAACATGCGGATCTCCTTTCTCTCCTCGGGGCTGAAGCGCCATCGCGGACCCCTGCGCCAAGAGTTGACCAGCCGCAGGCCCCCCTACACAGGCCGCATGCAACGCATGCACCGCACCCAACCCCGCAGGCCCCAATAACACCACTCTCTTCCTCTCGCCAACCCACTACAACTTCACCGACCCGTGCTCCCGTGACATCACATCCACAAGCACAACACACGCGGCGTACCACCGTTCCTCCAACGCAGTCGAAGCTGACAACGTTGCCGTCAACTGTACCTGCAACATCCACGTCAGCAAAGCTTTCGCCTGTGCGAAGCCAAGCTTCTCGAGCCCATGGTGCTTTGCTGGCTGCTCGTTTTTTCCCTAGTCCGAAAGAACTGGCAGAGGCAACCACAGCGGTGTCGTCGAATTTGAGGCCGACATCTTGGGATCATTCATGTTTGTCCGTTCAAAGTCCCTTGTCCCGTCTGGCCGCATGGTGGAGATGAGGGCAGGGAAGCATCCTGGAGGCCCAGCACGACTTCCATGAGGAGTCGTTCAACAGCACTCGGCTCAGTCCAGTCGACGAAGAGATCCGTTTGGCCCCTCCAAGTGCTCTCATACTCATATACGAGTGTGAGTCTTGGCAGAGAGTTTGAGCACATGATAGGCCATGGCAAAGTATGGTTTTCGGCTGGCTTGTGAATGGCTCGTCTCGCAATCAGCTGTGAAGAACCCTGGGCGAATCTTGCCCAAAATCTTCGGGAACCGAGACCATGCAAGCCTTTCACAGGCCAAGGCCTGATTGGGTTTCTCACAGCTTTCTGAGGCAATGCAGCTCCATCTCCAACCACGAGGAATGCCTCACGACCGCCTGACTCCTTGTGCTTTCGCATGAGGATGCCGGGAGCCTGAATCATGGTCAGGTCAGGCCGTCATCCATGTTCTGTTGGGTGTGCGAGAGGCAGGAGGGCAAGTCGCCGGGTGGGCCGCCGGGGGCAGGGGGGCTCCGGCTTCGCAGGTCAGGGGCGGCAGCGCCTATTCCTATGAGCTCGACCCCAGCTTCGACTTGTCTCGGCGGGAGGCCAGTGGCCGTGGTGGCCGGGAGCGGGAGGCGAGCCAGGAGCCGAGAGCGGCTTCTGCCGGCAGGCGCAGCTGGCCATCGTGGAATTCTGCCAGCGCTTGCGACGGGAAGCAGAGCTCAAGGCTGGAACTCACTCAGAGAAGTCTGGTCACTGGTCCTTCCGCAAGGTTGTCAAAGGGCAGTGGAGCTGCTGGCCATCGAAGTTGAAGGCCGATACACTACCATGAGACCCTGAAAGTAATTGGTTTGGCCTCCGGGCTCACGGCGGCATGGCTCACACGGATTGCGCTCTCACGGCGTGTGGCATGGCGAGGACTTCCTGCTGCAGGAAGCCCGGATTCTGAGCGGAGATATCTCCGATGTTCAGGTTGGTGTAGCCGAGCATTTGCTGTTGAGGCAGCCGGGTGTCTCGACGGGACTCCTTTTCGCGACCCGTTTTCTGAGGCACAGAGGCGAGCAGTTCCCGACGTATGCGATATGGCCGGCTGTACAAAACTTTCTGGCCCAGGCCTGGAATTTGGAGAGGAGAGATGGAAGGGGTTTCTGTCAAGTGCAGGTCAGGGGCGAGGCGGACCACGTGGGTTTCGTGCCATCCTCGGGCCGTACGTAGTGGGATGTGCTAGGATGTGCAGAGAACGCGTGGGGCACTTTGGAGGCCGAGGATGGCAGCGTGTCCTGGCCGGGGGCTTCGGAGAGTCTCGCACTCGCGGTACCGTACCGGAGCCGAGGGTGCAGCTGGACTACCGCGTGGAGTTCGACATTTGGAGCTCGGGACGACAGGTCCAGCCGCCGCCTCGGCAGATGCCGTCTGAGATGCTGTCTGTGAAGCCATGTGAAGCCATCCGAAGCCCTCAGGCCCTACATGGACCTGTGGGCCGCCCTCTCGGACCCGTGACGTGAGCCTCCGCAAGAAATTCAATTCCACTAAGGAAGACACCGCCCAGCGTGTCTTCGACGAGGTCACAAAGAAGTACAGGGGTCGGGGCCGCAGGTCTTTGCTTGCCCATTTCTCAAGATATGGCTTTCTGATTGCCCTGCTGCCAGAATGCTTGCTGGTGTCAGCCGAATCTCAAGCTTTTCGACTTTCGACTGTAAGCAACCAGATCAGCAACAGACGATCCCCCGAAGTAGCCACCTTTGCCAGCAAGTTCCACAGTGAGAGCGATGACGCGCTGGAGCACATGGCCATGGCCGGTCTCAGTGCAAAGCAGCTACTGAACTCGCTTCAGCTGGGGATCTGTGTGATTGCCGCCCGCTCGCATTTGTGCTGCTGCCGCCCCACACTTTTGAAAACTCCTTTTCTTTGGAGCGCAGTCCCACCGAGGACAGCTGCACTCTGCAGAAAGCAGCTGGCGAGTCTGGCCTTCAGCCTGCAGATGCAGTCAAGAAGCTGCAGGACAGGGCTCGCGGAGGGACTCGTGAACTTGGGCACATTCTGCTTGTTGTAAGAGGCGCAGACCGATTGCCCAGAGTCTAGAGTACTTCTTTTGAGACGACTGTAGTGATGAGCAGAATATGTCAATCGAGTGTGGCTTGATGATAGGATCCGAGAGCCCTATATGGATATCTCAGAGGGCTAGGTCCCGAAGCCGAATGCGGAGTTGCTCCTTTTCCAGGCCTTAACCCCCCCGGGCAGAGCAGGCGACCCTTCGCTCTCAGCATGGTGAGGCTGTGGCGTCGCCGTTACCCATAGCCATGGCTCATGGTGTCACACGATTCGGAGGTTTCGACTCTCAGAACAGCCTTCGACGAAGGACCTTGGCTTGAAAGTGATTTTGATTGTCTACGATGACGACGAGGCCACCCTTCCCCTCCTCCCCTCCTTCCCTCCCCATCCTGGTGCTTGTGGGGCAAGGTGCAGTCCCAGTCCGCGGGACTGCTGCTTCACCGGGCCTCCTTGGACGACGGGGCCGAGGCAGAGTGTGCAGCGGGGAAAGAAAGAGACGAAGAGCAGCCTTCTTCAGGTTGTTCGAGTCGCTGCTGAGCCACTGAGAAGCACTGGCGGCTTCAAATCTCTCTGTCGCTTGACAAGTTCTATCTGCGCAAAGGTACGAATGCGCCTTCGCCGTTCCGGCTAGGGCTGGTGAGGCTCTTCGCATCAGCTACAGTTACAGCGAAGTTTCCCGGGCAATCTGCACGAGAGAGAACTCCAGATTGTCATGGCAGGCATCGTGGCCATGGACGTTGCAGATGGAGCACAAGCAGCCAGATTCAATCCTGCTCCGGTACGTGGCGATTCCCGAATTTGCTATCGCCCAGCAAATGAATATGAAAACCAATTCTGGTAGGGATTTTGCCAGTCCAGAAGTCCCGCTTGACTTCGCTATGCCAAGCTGCAAGCGTCGCAAATCATGTTCAAAGTAGAAACATTTTCACAACAAGTTGCAGCATTGGTTTCTGTGCTTGCTTTGCGTTGCTTCCATCATCTCTGTTCCCTTTTATCATGCTCCGGGTATTATGTCTGCCGTGAGCTCGAAGCTGTCAGAATTCGCTTCCTCTAGCAGAGGCACTGGGTGCAAGCCGCGGCTTCACTTTGTGAGGCCACTGCTACACAGATTGTGAGCCTTGCTTGGGGATCTCAAGGCTGCGCAGACCACGTGCCATGTGACAGGATCGTGCCAGGAGCTTTTCCAACTTGAAGCCCCTTCCCAGATTCGGCTTGCCAGGTGCACTTCAGCGTTGACAGCAGTGGAAACTTCACTGCCAGGTGGCCCGCTGTCGTTCGGTCTCTGTCCAACGTAGTCGTTCTAAGAGTTTGCATGCAGGCGCTGGAAAGTGCTTCAGTTGCGGCTCAGGCTTCCTGAGGCAATGAAGAAGCACTTGCGGAAGCTCCGCTACCAGAAGCACCCAGAGGCCACAAGTGTTTGTGAAGATATGGTGATGCTTGCACGAACCTAGGCTGGAGACTCTAAAGTTTGCGGCGCAGCTTGCCCCGGTAGGAGCACGAGCGTGGCCGAAATAGACTATAAACCTGACGCAAGCCTAGAGCCCGAACGCGGGACTACTAGTACTAGGATTAGTGCTAAGTCTGAAGTAGCAGCACCAGGAGTACTAGCACAGCACCAGCACCAGCCCGGGCCCTGGCCCTGGCACTAGCAGGTTATGACATGGCACGATGCAATTAAGTCGCGAGAGTGTGCTCGGTTTTGAAGTTAAGAGTGTCACTAAGCGTAGGAGTTCTGGCATGTCGAGGACGTTGGCGAGGGCCGCGACGAAAAAGCCCTAGTAAGCCCTACTTGTAAATTTGACCAGGTTGTATGAACTACCCATGCGTGCTATTGTCATGCGGAGGATTAGGTGATTAATTAGAACGTTCGCCCGGTGGCAGCAGTACCCCTGGAAAAGACAAATCAGCAAGCTGGTGGGCGAGATGGGTGTCATCCTCCGCCACCACTGCGGCTAGTTGGATTCGTCAGGCAGCTGCCCTGCCCACAGAACGTCGGTAAGGCGCCTCGCGCCGCCGAGCGGCGGGTAACTTTCCACCTCCCACGCCACTTCAATTCCTCGTCAAGGCATTGCTGCAGGCCTATCGTGTTTCCTTTGGGGCCAGATCCCGTGTTTTAGCCAGAAATTCGCTGAGACTCGAGCGGAGCTTTCTGGCGGTGTCACCCTTGATGTGGAGGAAAGCAGAACCTTGTGCAGCACAGGTGCTTCACGAAATCTTGTCCGCTGAAAACCCAAGACCACGGACCCCAGTGCCAGCACGTGGCGTCAACTCAACGACCATCGGGCACGACCCGGCGAGTGTCAAACTCGGCAAACACTGCAAGCAACGAGGCTTTCCACAACAACAGCTGGGGGCCGACACGTGTCTTTCGCAACTACAGCGGCTCACACCGGGAACGGCACGTCTGCATTAGACGGCCGAGCACTGCTGAGGCTCCCAATGTGCGAGTTGCGAGATTGAGAAAGGACTCTGACGCGGGAGCGTGCTCTGCCCGCAGCAAATTGGAAGTAAGGCAACGCGACAGTATGAAACTGTCAGAAAAGAGCCTGAAGCGAATTGTGGTATTGGTAGGTAATCATGAAGAGCGTGCTCAATTGCAAAGAACACGAATCGGCTTCCTGATGTGCAGCCGGAGTTTCGTAGCTAAGAAAAAGAAGACAGCATGGAAAGGAAATAGTCAACCAGCGTGGCTTCAAGTGCAAGTCTGCAGATTGAGACTGCATCCTCAAGTTTGGTCTGGTGGCTAGATTTTGTACATCACTGCATGACTAACAAAGCGCATGTCTTACCGCAAGCTTTAGGAGATGGCTTGCACTAGACGGCGTCCCTGTATCTGATCTTATGATGCAGTTGCAACGTCCCCGCGGGGACCACATCTACGTGCGTGGTTCAACTGCTTCAAAGATACATTTAGTTGGTGGAACAGTGATGCAGACTTTGAAACCTCGATTCGGCGTGCTCAAGGTATCATTATAATGAGCTATTATAATGCGGTGTTCGGGGGGTGGCCACTCTGGTAGTAACTTGGTTTGCGCCAAGCCAAGTTTCCCGGCTTTCGAGAGAGGAAGAATTGGCTTTCGTGGACCAGTACAGAATCGGCTGAAGCAGACCGTATACAGTAGTCCTCCTCGGCACCCTCCGGAGATTTTTGCAGACTTGCATTGCTATCCTTGCCCGAAGCCGTTGCAGGGTCGGGGTGAAACTTGCAGGTGTCGACGAAGCAGCCGCAACCGCAGGACTTCAAGGCGCTGGGCATCGCCAATCATACGCTTCTACAGTAGCGTTTGAAGCAGGGCTGGTAGGGCCCAGGCATGCCCAGGCTTTTTTTCCGCCAGGAGCCCTTGCAGTGGGACGCGGGACAGGCTTTCGTGGTGACCGTGACTCGAGGCCCGGCCACCCAGGAGTCCGAGGCCCAAAAGCGGAGTTCAATGCCTAATTTTCGTGTGGAGGCGAGCGACACGAATGGCTTCTGTGCATTGGTGAGCTGGAAGACGCAGCGCAGCTAGCCATGCTTGAATTTCTTGATTTCGTGGCAGGGTTTTCTGCTTGGAAGTTCGTGTTTCTCGAAGTCGGTGGGACTCTGAAGGAACCTCCAGACGTCATTGCAGCGAGAGTTTTCTTTGCTGAGATGGGTTTTGCAGGGGCTGCTCTCGCGTCTGATTGGGGTCGACAGTCGCGTGGTCATCCTTTTTTCATAAGGATCCTACAGGAAGCATCGCACCTGGCCTCTTACCTGTTGGGGACCCACGGGGCTGACTCGTGGATCGAACGTGCGGGGCCCGGATATGTGAGTGCCCTTCGAAGCTGTGTGCATTTTCGGTACGTGAAGGCGAGGACGACCCCAGTATCAGTGACGCTCTATGCGAGATCGGCGGCCTGACTGAAGCAGACAGCAGAACTTGCATCCGAAGGGACAGGCTGTCTGCACGCCACGGCACCTTCGGGGCTGAGAAGATCAAAGCTTGCTGCAATTTGCACGGCTGTTGGCAAGTGTGACAACCCAGACACATGACATTCCGTCCCACGCACACCAAAAAAGGACACATCCTTAAATCCCCTTTTCCCGCGCAGGTGGTTTGTGGGGCGCGAGCCGGTCAACCCTCCTTACCGCGGCCAGCGGCCCGCATGCAGGGCCGCTCGGATCTTCAAAGCTCAGCTCCACCGTCTAGATGCCTGCGGAGCAGCCGGCGAACACGAGCAACCCTAACAAAGCAGTATAGTGAAGTTGGCGTATCAGACCAACCGGATGCTCGCAGCAAGCGTTCGAGGCTCCGCGGTCTGGGCATCGGCAGCAACAAAAAGCTACGGCAACGAGCAGCCCTTCTGGCGCTGGTGCGCTTCGGGGAGGGCTTCGAGTGTTCGTACGAAAGGGTGAAGGTCTAGGTTTGATCACAAAAACGTAGGTTGGTTGGGAAGGGCCTTTTCTGTGGCATGAACGTTGCAGGCATGGATTCCCCGAAGCTTTGGGCCCGAAGTCCCCGACAGCTTAGAAATCTTTTCCTTCCCTTCCCGCCCTACCCTTCTTTACTTCCGCGGTTACAGTCTGAAGCGCAACTTTGTTGTTGCGGAGGGCCGTTCTCCTCCTATGTTCTTTGAGATGCGAGGTTGTTTGAATTGCGTTTGGTAGTAACCTCTGTAACCCTCGCTTGGTGCCCAGGTTCTTACGCTCACGTCAGGTGTTTCTGATTCCTTATTGATCACCTGTCGAACCCAACGTCTTAGACGTTGTAGTAACTGTAGTAGCCACTGTTTCACCCATACGATGCAAAACAGTTCTCTTGCACTGTTTGGGGTCTCGCCACCCCTACGACAACTTCAAGGTCCTAGCTACCGGGAAGGAGTCGACATCGGCATACGTTACCACAAGGTTCTACCAGCGTCGTTTACGCCTACATATAAGGCCGCGGATGAACAGAGGAGGGTTGCGTGACAACAGACTCGGTTGGAAGATAGAAGACTTGTGCTGGATGTTGAAGTCCCCGTATCGAACGGCTACTTCCCGTGTTGCTGCAGGCCGCTACTGCTTTCGCCCAGTGGGGCTCGGAGGACGGACAAAGCCAGGGGGTGAAAGATCGCAAAAGCCGAAAGCTCAGCACCGGTTGTCAGGAGCCTCTTCCAGGCAGCGCTGCCTCACTGAAGACCCTGGCGACGGCTGTCCGCGAGAGATTGCAGCCAGAGGGCAAAAAAGGGGCCGAGGGCCAGATTTCACGGAGACCCTGCACGACACATCCGTAGCTCTGAGCTCTGCGTTGTCGTTGCATGCGTGCTTGTCCCGGCTGGCTGCCCTCCTTTTGGTTTGTGATGATTGCGGTGTTGCTATGCAGTGGATGCTGAGTAGCGATAGATTTGAATGGAGATGCCCGGTCATCCAATACGTGGTTCGTTGTGACTCAGGCTCTGAGAATTTTTTGGGAAAGCCGTTGCCGTGGCCTCAACAAATTACTGCAAGTCTTGCCGATGCCTCTTTGAGGAGGCAGGTGATTTAAGCCGAGTCATCGTGAGGCCCTTGTCTGACCTCTTCCAACGGGCAGAGGCTTTTGCGCCATGCGAGGCCACGCCCTGCGAGAGCGAGCAAAATCGCAGGCAGAGAACCGTGTCGTGAACTCTGCGCTGTCCTCGTGGATCGTCAGTGTGGCTTGCGTAGGGGACTTACGACTTAGGCGTAGCACCGCGTCTCGTCTCGAAATGGTTTCTGTCGCTTCCTTGAGGCTTTGGTGGCGCTCGGCGCCTTCACGCGCAGTCTTTGGCTCTCCGTGACCTTGTCTGCACAAACTTCCACTTCCCAGTCCCGCTTCGATCTAACGAATCTAGCGCGTCGCCAGCCGAGGGCATCGCTTGCTTCGCAATGCTGTCCACTGCGGCTTGCAGAGCAGACCCAAGTTCTGGTCGAGTTGGGGTTCAGTCTCTGCCAAAGGATCCAAAGGCCAAAAGCCTGATTGCAATCCGAGGCCTCTTCTTCATTACGAACATCTTTCAATGGAGATTTGGGCTGATGGAGGCAGAGCTAAAATATCGATCCTCCGGACTCGAGGAGGTTGCAATCAATGGGTTCAAGTGAAGCAGGCAGTGTCGCTCATCATTTTCTGCGGCTTCTCTGTGGACTATCCCTTGCACGTGCCCAGGCAGCACAGGCAACCGAAGAGCTCAGTTCCTTTTTCACTCCGTCTTGGCTCGGTTAAGCTACTCCACGGAGGTGGTGCAGGCGTATGTCCAAGAACGTAGCAAAGGCGCGCCAGTCCTGAGATATCTATCAGCGACATGTAGCTGTGCCGGATGCTGGGGGCAACCAGCACATTCTCGAGGAGTTTGTAATCTATGAAAGCGGTTCTCGATTCCTGGAAAACAGCGTGTTCTTTTGGAAAGCCGTGGCAAGGTCCCGTGGAATCGACAGTCCAGGCTGATTGCAGAGAACAGCATCGCACCGTCCAGCGAGTTGCAGGCTCTGGCGTCCGTCGAGCACTTCGAGAAGTCGGGGGAGCAGTGGCATCAGGCGATCACGGTTCCACGAGTATTCTGCAGGACTTTGGGTGTTTGCTCTACTCCCCCTCCTCCTGCTCACTGCTACTACCACTACTACCAACAGCAGCACCACCACCACGACCACTGCCAGTGCCACTTTCGTATCGGCCAGGCTGTGCGACGACTTGTGGAGCGGCAATGCATGCAACTCAGGCTGAAGCTCAGACGTGAGCAAATGCTTTTCCAGTTGGCACATGTCGACTTGCGCATGCAGCCCTTCTGGAATTACTCCCGTACCCCCTGGCCGCCTCCACTCTGCCCGGATCCTTGTAGTCACTGGGGGAACGATTCCAGAGAAGTCGCTCCCACAAGCGTTTACGTAGGGGAAATGCCTCTGGATGTAACCTTGATCATGCGGAAAGGAACTTGCAGGCAAACTGGGTGGGACTAGGAGGTTGCGCTGTAGTAGGAGGGTAGCAGCAGTAGTAGGAGGCGGAAGAGGCGTCATGATGATCATGATCATGATCGTCATCATCAGCAGCAGCATCAACAGCATCACCAGCACACTGGTCATCACCACCTTCCACCAATGCAAGCGAGAGTATAGTCCCCAGCAGCTCCGCGAGCCTTTTCCTTGCACTGTTTCCGGTGCTATTGCCGGCACGATCCACATTTGCGCTACACCTGCTGCAAGCTCTGCAAGCCATCCAGTATTTATGCATTGCCAGATGGAGCTGGTTTGCCGCAGTTTGCAGCCAAGCTCCGAGATGTGGAGGAAGGATGATTGCCCTTCCGCCCAAAGCGCCACCTCCGCTACTAACTTCTGGAGACGAAGCTGAGCAGGTCCAGAGCAAGTCATGAGTCTCACGCCCGCTTTGTTTGTCAGTGAGTTAGGCAGGACGGTTATGTGGGACAGCCATGAGCAGACACACGACACACAGACGCACACACACACACACATCTAAGGGTTATCAGTTCTTGAGTATAATATATATATACATATATATACATAGTCAAGTATACATACATGTTTATGTATACATATATATCTAGATAAAGAACGATATTCTTTACTCAAACTTCCACAGTGATATTTCTTCTTACATCTACATGCATATCTCGGTATATATATATATATATTTATGTATGTATGTATGTATGTATGTATGTATGTATGTATGTATGTATGTATGTATATATAAAAATATGTATGCATACATTTGTTTAGTTTGTCATGTATTCATGTGTCTGTTTTGTTGTCTTCTGTTTAGTTTTTCTATTTTTGCATTTATAGTCATTTTTGGCAACCCTCCACAGATCCATGATTTCAGCTTTTCGAAGCCATCAACAAAGAATCGCGCGGTTGAAACTCAGAATAATTCAGTCTAAGTCTTGATTCGTACTGCAGCCGTCCCCCCAAGGTTCTTCAAAAACTGGTTGGGTGAATCTTGGATCTTGGATCCCAATCGGTTGCAGTAAAAGTTAGCATGATTCAGTATTCACACTGAAACTCGATGTGTACGGCGACCACGATTCTAGAATCCACATGGTCATACTTCCGAATTGCTGATGCCGGCATGTCTAAGAGGCACATGACATCCTTTGCAAAACAGCGTGCAGTGATTGGTTTTCGATTGCATGCAGATGCAACAAGCTCGAGGGATAGCCTACGATACCCAGTCTCGGTGCAATGTCGTTCAATGTGCAGGTAAGGTCACCATGTCCAACAAAATCGCGATGCTAGAACTGCGACTTGCGTGTGATGAAGATGACTTCAGCCCGAACACTGGAATGAAGACCCTCGAGCATAAACCATGGCAGCTTACATAAGGGCTGCCCAACAAGTGATCAGACCAAGTCCTAAACCATCGAAGTCCCAAGCCATCGTTGCGTATGCAGCAAGCATACAGGAATCTTTTTCCCACTTCTCTAATGACCATATTACCTCATGATCCAACGTAGGCTAGCTCTGTGGAGCTTGCGGGAGTTGTCGTTTACCAGGTCGCCTAACGTTGATGGCTGCAAAAGTAACTGAATGGAAAGTCTTGGACCAATCCAAGCAAAGGGCACAGAGAGAAGTGTTTCGCTTTGATTTCTTAAGAGTCTTCGCATAACGTGGATGGGTTGGGTAGAGCGATTTTTCCGAAAGCCATGCTGCGTGGAGCGGATACGAGAATCGATGTTGGATTGCAAGCGGGATTGGAGCATAGAAGCAGATATTTTGTAAGACACATTGGTAAGTGAAACAGGGCGATAATTGGAGAGAGAACGAGAATGTTTTTGATGGTTCTTGATCCGAATAACCACTTCGGAAAAAGAGCATCGAGATAGCGATACGTATCTGAATGTGCATGAAGTTTATTATTAATCGCACATAACCCTAACATTACATACTTGGGTATTTGGTCAACCGTTCCTGATGCAAAATTAATTGGACATGGGGACGAAATATTAATCATATCAATCTGGGTATTGACTCATCACTGCGTATTACATATGACTGAGTCATACAACGTACAAGTTATTCAAGGTTTGCTGGTGATCGAGTTTTCTGGAGTAAAGATGTTACGTGATCAGCCGCGCTCAGCATGTAACAATGGAATATTGGTTGAGCATAATATGAACATCAGTTATCCAACGGGCATTGGATACATTCTATTCTCATCTTTTCAACTTTTGCAAGCAAACAAACAAGCAAGTATAGGCACGTAATCAAGTTCGAATATCATATATACATGCATCTAATTAAAGAATATTTGAACAGGTGTCAACGAAATACTAGCTTATTCGCTACACACCGCTGTGTGAAACACTCGTTCAATATTGCTTCCAGGTAAGTTACATCTTAAAGTGCTCGGTACATAGAATGGCTGTCGCTTGCCGCTTACATGGGATGATAAGCTGGTCGATGCTGTCATTTGTCCGCATGTCCTTACAACAGGTCGTGATTGCCGGTGCTATCATTGCATAAGAGGATGAGATTGACGGTGTTGGCGTTTCACAAGAGGATGTATTGTTCAACATATTGCCGGATCGCGTGCAACGGCAAGGCGAGCCATCATCAAACGGGTGTCCGATTCTCATGCTGTCTTCAGATGACGACTTGTTTTGTTTGCAAGTCACATGAAATCAACGGGAATGTCGAGGGGGCGATGTAGGTCGTGTGATGGTGGTGACACGGGTCATGATGCCGCTTGTCGAACGAGGTTTTACTAAGGACCATGCAACAATTATGAATTATGGGGAGTTTTATTGTGATGGTACTCCGTATCGACGGTTTGGTTTAATAGAAACAGGATTATAGTCAATATGCGGTATGACTATTCGTGTTTCGATGGTGTGGGTTGTTGCATAGGAGTAAAGGGATGGCAGGCAATCCTTAAGATGATTATTTGTGTTTGGACTGTTTGGTGGAATGAGCGGAAACACAGGCAATGGTGAGGATGATTCGTTGTGTTTGGATGGTGTCCATGTAATAGCAAACGAGTAGAGTTGAGTAGAGGCAAACCCTAGTGTTTTCGTTTGTGCTTGGAGGGGCTGCAGGCAATGTTGAGATGATGACTTGTTGTTGGATGGTTTGGTGTAGTGGTAAGCGGGTTATAGGCCAGACTTAGCACCTTGGATGGATGAAACAGGCAATACTTAGCATGATTGCATACGTGTATTCCTGAATGCCTATGTATGTCTATTTGTCGCTCTATCTGTCTCTGTGTGTGTATGCATGCATGCATGCATGCATGCATGCATGTATGTATGTATATATGTATGTATTTAGAACTATGACAGGCATGTAGTGCGCGTCCGACTTGTAAAACTACAAGGCTCTGAGAGCCAGGATGGTTCCCTGTCATTACAACCACGCGATGCGAAGACCTTCTTTGCAGCGTTCGCAAGAAAATGTATGAAGAAATAAGTGTGTATGTATATGTATATAGATATATGTGTGTGTATGTGTACGTATGTATATACAGGTGTATATGCATGTATGTGTATATACATGTGTCTGTGTATGTTGTTATGTGTATGTATGTATGTATGTATGTATGTACGTATGTATATATGTACATATTTATGTAGAATATATATATATGTAGAATATATATATATATTATACATATATATATTATACATATATATATACACATATATTTGTACATGTATATGTATGTTGTATATGTAGATTTATATGTGCTTGTATATGTATATGTGCATGTAAACGCATATGCGTATATGTACGCTAGCAAAAGGAGGGAACCGTATTCTACGGTAACTCAGACCTATATCGGCCTACTAAGCGAAAGCTGTACTTTGCGATCCTGAGCTACAGCAGGATGGAGCAAACGCCGAGGAGACTGCAGAGGTCCTATCTGAAGAGGTGCTTCCGACTTTTGCGATTGACATGTAAGAAGTTGCGAGAGAAGGTGCGGGTACAGATAGCAAACTTATTTAGAAGATGAACAATACTGCTCGCGACAGAGCTGCGCATAATTAACACCATCACCATCATCGCCATCATCACCCATCATCACCCATCATCGTCGTAGAACCGCCACATAAACCGCACCACTACGACTACTCCCAGAACTGCTACTCCTTGCACCACTCGTCGTGTGGTCATACATGCTAGACAACATTGAAAGGAAAGGCTTGTAACGAGGGAGTACACGGGAGTACCATGGGGTACATGGAGCGTTTGTCGTTTGACCGTCAAGACGGTAAAGATCAAGGGTTGCATAATCACCAGGATTATTGTAGCAATGTCGGAAAAGCAACATACTGGTGATCTGAGCAATGCCAGGTGGCGTGCATTCCAGTTGCGGCCTTGTCGTTTGCCAAGCTCGCCGAGGATTTAAGGCAACTCCAGGACTGAATTTTGCAGGCTTTGGCTTAGAAAGGCCTGACTACGACTCGAGGCTGACAAGCGCAGCCAGCAAGACAACGGAAGTCTAATCACCCAGCTATGAAGGTCAGACCAATCCGCAGCAGGTGCAGTTCCGCAGACTAACAAAGTTGCATTCATCGACATCGCTTGAAACCGACTTCGCTTTTGGGATGTAAGCATGAGAGGAGCAGCTCGTCGATGCTCATGCGAGAGAGGTGTCTCTCGCATCCAGCACTGCAGCCGGCCGTCGATCGTCAGTGCTTTCGGTCCGCTCAACGATATCTGCTCCAGGCGCTTGGACGAATCTGAACTTTGGCTTGGCATGCGATTCTCTCGCAGTTTTTGTTAAGCAGCGTGCAACCAAAGCAGGGCACTTCCCTGCAGTGCCACTGGAGTGTGCACAGCAGCTTTCAGGCATCAGCCTATCTCCCTGCAGTGCTCAGAGCCGTGCGACGGGACAAGGCCAGTCGAGCTTCAACACAGTATGCAAGCCTGTTCCACGTCATCAGCATCATAATGCAGCTTCTCGATTGACAATGTTTAATATAGCTTTCTCTCTTCCGTTTTGAGCGAGAAGCCTTCACTGTCCCTGCTCAAAAGCATTATGCCATAGACAAAGATGCGAAAGCAACGCGGCCGCAGCTCTGCTTGCACAGCACGGGAATTACGTCCTTCAGGTCTGTGAGCACGAAACAAGTCTCCCGGTAGATGATTGCAGATACCCTGACGCGATGCCTGGCAGGGAAAGACAGGAGCAGTTCCTCTCTGAAGAAGGCCAGTGGTATCGCCATCCATGCAGGGCAGACTTTGGCATCACGCCGGCATGTAGTGTCAGACGCACCTGAAAGCTCGGAGCAGGATGCCGACAATTCCGACTTTATGCCGGTCTCTCCGTCGGGTGCTGCTTGCAGTGCTCTGTCCGAACTGTTGCACCCGCGAAGGACGTTTGGAGGTTGTGGGAGTTATGGGGACCGAATTGAAGCTCCTGGGGTTGAGGATCCGATCGTTGTAAGACCTCAGAACAGTTGCAGTGCTTGGCGAAATAACAAAGCGGTTTGTTTGCCCATCTCTGCACTCAGCCCTTGGCAGATGTGGGTGACAGTTTCTTGATGATTCCTAGCTGCGTTATCTTCATGCCTACAGTGTCTACAGCCTCAGGTAAGGGTCCCTCGCTGCCAAAGCGGTCGCAGAGTGGAGGCTTGTACGGAATGCCGGCAGAGGAGTTCAGGGGCACATGCAGAGGAGAGAGCGGGTGCTTTAGTCGAATCTCTTGGTCACTTAGCAGATTCAGACAAGCGAATCGGAAGCCATGATCATTCTGGTTCGTGCACAATCAAGGTCTTTCCGAGCCTGCTGAGTCTGAGCTTGTTAAATTGCATGTCCAGGTGAGCGGAGCGCACTCATGCCTCCGCGGCCAAGCAGACTCGAAGGTACTTCTGTTGCGTTCAGCTGGCAGTGGACGAGCGTGACAGCTCCTGTGTCAGGTGCAGATGTTGATCCCAACACAGAGGCCTGCTCTGTCGCACCAAGAAAAAGCTTCAGGAAGTTCAGGCCGAAGCCGAGGCTGCATGGCTCTTGTACCAGGCTCCAGTGGCGCCGGCAAGGAAATCGTTGATGGATCTCGAGACTAAGACGATGTCCCGCTCCGTGGCAGAGCAGGCGGGGAGAAGACTGCTGCGGCTCCTCCCGCGTCTCATCCCGGCTCCAGGCCCGGAGGCTCAGCAACAACTTGGAGGCCGGTAGTGGGGCCCAGCCGGGCAGGGCTAAAGCTGCGAGAGTCAACTTAAGACAATGCGAGCAGCAGCTTCGTTTCAGGAGCAAGTTCTGGAGGAGCCATCGTGCGGAGCTGTGCCTTCGTTGCTTCAGCCTTCGCCGTGTGCCCAGTAGGGTGCGTCTGTGCTGCTCGGAATCTAGTGCTGGAGGAGCTGGAGAATGTGCCCACCTCATGCCAGTTGCGTGGAGAGTGGGGCATCAGTGATGAGGAGCGTCTGAGTTCCTTGGAGGTTGAAGGTCCTTGCACTCAGCCAGGACTTGGTCGAGCTGAAGAAGCGTACAATCACATGCAGCCCGACGAAGCGCTCGACAGGCTGCCGAGGGTAGAGCTTGTCAACCCATGCTCATGCCAAAGACTTGAAGGCTCGTCTTGTGACAGGGAGCTTTTTCAGAGTCCTGAGCCTCCCTGTCTTTGTCATCCTTCCCTGTGTTTCCAAACAACACAGTTCACGAAGAGAGTCAAAAGATGCGCACGGCTCACCCACCAAGCAAGCATTGCCTGGAACTCTGTTCGAAGGCTCGGCCCACTGGTCTTACTTGCCGCCAAGTCAGCGAGTCTACTTTCATGCTGGGGAGGCAGGCAGTATCCGATTTTTTCTGGTTAGGGTCCAGAATTAGTGCCACCAGGAATCATTGGGGCTCAGACCTTGCGATTTGTTATCGCTTTTCGGCGCAAACTGAGCCAACATTGCCAAGCTACTACATCGCATGTTGAGAGGGTCTCCGTGCTGGTCGGCACAGGGGTAGCAGGTCATGCTATCGGAAGATGCAAAACCTTGGATATTGCGGCCCTCATCAAAGCCACGGCTGATTTGGGATGTCCTTGCCCTAGTTGCCACCTGGCGGCATGTTTCGCGATGCAGGCACTGCAGCACAAGCCTACTGTGCCACTCAGGCAACTCACCTGTCTCCTCATTGCTACTGAGCATAGGCATAAGCATTTCTCAGGTGATCGTCTACGATTTGGTGACAGTGCCACTCCAGGCTTGCCCAAGCCGAGCCCCCGCAGATGCACTGGTCGGTCTTGATCTTTCGGAAGGTCTTTCAACTGGATGCGACCTTCCACGAGACCAAGCGCGGTTTGCAGCTCTTCACCACCGTCTTCTGGAGACTCGCCTCAGAAACCCAACCCCGATCTTTGCCTGGCGCTTCCAAAACTTAAAGGAGCTTTGCAGTTCCCCATCCGAAGGGTTGGGTTTAGTGTGCCCAAGCCACATGGCAAGTTTGCAGCAGCTTTATCCGACAAGTCTGTCTGTGAGCTCTACTTCATCTCTGAGGTTGCTGGACATCCCAACCAACTTCCTGACCGCTGTCTACATAAATGGCGCCTTGCAAGTGGACCCCTACAAAATTGCTCGGGCCTACAGCCGATCCTGGCTCTGTTCCTCGTTCCGCGAATCTCTCCCCAGCTGGGCCTCGGGGCCTCCATCCGTTCGCAGCGCAGGCTTCGACATTCTGGTTCTGATCCCGGACGTCATGGCCATTGTCGAGGGCGCTCAAGATGCCGCAGAGGGCACCGAAAGTATAGGCCCTGGGGCATCTCTGGGCCCTGGGCATCTCTGGGCCCTGGGAGTTCGTGCGAGAAAGCTTCGTCGATGCAGGTCTCCTCCGAGCTGCACGAACCGGTCGTTTGCTTCGCTTGGTTCGCTTCCTTCGCATACTCAGGCTGGGACATGGCCAAGCGTAAAGATTGCAGCGGATCTGCTCAGTGCAACCACATTGGAGCCACAGGGTATTGCGTGTGAAATTCCTATACCACGCCTGCCCTGAAACCCTGCAGCTGGCACCAGCCTCTTTTGGCAGTTGCAGGATGTACGAGTAGCGGAGAAGCTTTGAAGCGGCCGTCACGCCTATGCCTCGCGTGGATACGCCTTGCTTGTGGAGGCTTGCGAAGTTGCTCCAGGTGTTGGGATCGCTCTCGGCACGCAGCCTATCTGCAGAAATGCAGCGTCAATGCTACGGGCTGCGTTCGGGTACGGGTGCATGCCGCCTCGGACAGTGTTGGTGCAAGGGGAGATCAGGGATAGTTCTTGTGATGGTGAGCGGATGAATCCCGGCTTACTACTTTGGGCAGCTTAGCAGAGCTGCGGATGCAAGTCCTGCTGCTTCTCCCCAGGCATCAACCACGAGTTGGCATTGCTTGCCTTCGGCATCACGTGCCTGGTTGCATTGGTCTCGCTAGGGTCACGGGCAGTGGTCATCTTGCCTGTGATGTAGCTGTTTCCGCTATTCCGAGGAAAATGATCTTCCTGACCGCATATCTCGGTCATTTGCTATCTTGCCTTTGGCCACTTGGTGCTTGACATGACGCCACCTGGCCAACGGCCACGGTGCTGATTCAACTCAGGTTCGCAGTTGGTGATGTCGAGGAGAGGAAGAGACGGAAGAGAGTCCAAGTTCGGGTAAGTGGAAAATGGATCTCTGCAGGATGGCTGGGTGTACACCAAAAACCTGAATGGTGCGCCTTTCCATCTGCAGTACCTGACATCTTTGGAGTGGGCACTGCCCCTTGACCGCGCACTTGGACTGTCCTTGTCGGTCTTTGCATAAGTGCACAAAGAACAGCCAGGTCGCGCATCCATCCCTCGGCCATGCAGAACAACATGGCCCTCCAAACGGGTCCAGAGCGAGCACTTGCAATCGCTGCGAGCTTCCTTGCCCTGGGCGTTTCTTCCCTTTTCATCAGCTGCTCGGTAGTTCAAGCATGTTCGAAGCTGAAAGTGCACGGTCTTACGAGGTTCGCATGTCGTTGATATGTTTGTCACCACATCGCTCCGTCAGAAGCATTTTGTAGTAGGTTGTGGTGCCACGATCTCTTTTGCGCTTCGCATGCAGGCAGCATCACGAACACCATGGCGGACATAAACCGAGAGCGTCAGCGAAAGAAACAGATTCTTTACTCGGTCCGCGACTACTGTGGTTCTCATCGCATCTCCTCCGGTCATACACTGCGCATCAAGCAGCCCCCTGATGACATCAGAAGCACTCGTTTGCATGTCCATGTGTAACTCGCTCCGTTTCGACTTGGCTGCAAACCAGTCCTAGAAATGGGGCCGAGGTATGTTGAGCGCGAGCATCATCGCAAGAAGACCCAGCAGCTTCACTTGGAGCTCTTGGAGACCCTGCCGAAGGTTCAGTTTTGACAGCCAGCCCAAACCGGAACCCCACCCCGCTGACTTCATTTGGGATGATGTAGTAGGACATGCTCTTCGAGCTCTTCCACGAAGGCCGTGCCTAGGCAGCATCGTCCAGACTTTCTAAAACTGTTTGTCTCTTGGCGAGACGTGGGAAGAAGGGGTTTTTCTGATTTCTCTCTTTCCGGATTCTTGCACGCTGCTGCAGCCGAGACCCGCTCTGTGCTGTTTTCATTACGAAGCAGGAGAGCCGAAGTTTGCAAAGGGAAGAGTCCAAAAGGACCCCACAACGGGACAGATGAGATCATGGAGGTGAGATCGGGAAATCTTGATGGGAATTGAATAGTCTTGATTGGCCTCCGGTGCATCTGTGTGTTTGTGTGTATATGTGTCTGTCTATGTTTGTGCCGGCCAACCTAGGCAGCCAGGCGCTGCAGCATCATTCCCTGTTCGACCGGCTTGGCCGGATTGATCCTGTTATGGAACTCAACTTCTGCAACAAGGCCCGACAGCGTAGAGTGCTCTACACTGCATTGCAGCAGCTCTTAGTCGGGCCTTCTGAGCGTCACATCATGGAGGAACTCACAAAATCAGCGGATGCAGAGTTTGGTCCTTGCAAGCCTGATTCAGCCGTGGGGTCGGGCCTGCGATGCAGCTGCGTGCCCCGCGTGCCCGCAGGTGCTGGCAGAGCTTCATGTCATGACCCTGGACAAGGTGTTCATCTCTGAAGACACTGGCAAGGCGCGAAGCTTTCACAAGACTTCGCCAGCGACGCAAAGCACGGTAGAGGCTTAAATCGTCTTTCAGAAGCGAGGGTCAGAAGTGTTCTTAATTGTGGATTGCGGAATAAAATAATTGTTCTGGTCGAGACTCTGGAAGAGACTTTCGAACTGTTGGGTTTGGCAGCTTCAGAGAAAATGTGCCTAGCACGCTGCGAGACTGGCCGTTGGGGGTTTCGGTGCTTTTCCTGGCACGCCGTGCTAATCCGATGTTGGGGGGGGTTCGGTGCTTTAGGAGGAGGAAGCCTCCACAGAGAACAATGTGCCTAGCACGCTGTAAGCCGATTTTGGGGGTTTCGAGGAGGGGGGGGCTCAAATTGAAAACAAATCCTATCTTATCTGGAATCCAGGCTCTCGATTTCTCGTTTTCTCTAGCTTCAGCCTCTAATGTCTTGATGAATCAATTTTCGTATCGCAGAAAAACGCCGCACTGCTCAGGCCATGTACATACCCGCTGCAGGGCAGTACAACTACGAGTACCTTCCACCAAATCTTCGGGCGGCACCGGCCCAACCAAAGCAAAGCAAGATGCGGCGCCTCATACATCGCCTGAGTCTCCGAGCCTTGGACCGAAGACTGGCGCTTCCGAATAGCTCTGTTGTTGCATGTTTCTACACGGGCAACCTCTTCGGTCAGCTCAGTGTCCTTGGAGCACTGAGGCAGCGCAGAATCCAAAGTGTGGCCGCCCCTGATCTGCGTTAGTCTCGCGTGTTGAAACTTTTGAAACTCCCATGCCGCCGTGCTGGACGCGCTCAGGACAGAGGTCACGACCACCACCGCAGTGGGTCCAGGCGATTGCTTGAGCGAGTACTGCCTTTGGGTGGATGGATGGAAGCACCGCGGCCTCTCGGAAGCGAGGAGCGATCCGCAGCCCAAGCAGCCAATAATTTCATGGGGCGAACCGAAGTTCAGAGTAATCTCGCAGATCTGGAACTTAATACTTCCTTGGATCCGGCCAGCACAGTCGCTTCCACCGAATGTTGTCTGTTGCGCATGGCCCTGTCGACTGCTCGACAAGCGTGCACTTGGACGTCCGGCTACCCCGATCCGGCTGGCGCGCACTGCCCATATTTCAAGCGACAGAAAGGCTTACTGATATTGTGATCGTGAAACCTTTGTGTTTGGCTTGGTGGTGGTTTCTTTACCGGCTACATCGTGTCCAGCATTCGCACTTTCATGACCCCGTTTGTTTTGTTCCATGACACTGCCCCAGGCACGACCAATCATTAGGCAACTGCAAGGACAGTAACTGGGCCGATGGGAGCTTCTTCACAGTCAGTTGCTAGACACAAGGTCACGGTAGTCTTGGTACCGGAGAGTTGTAATCGCTGTTGCCATCACCGTGTTCACCATCGTCGTGTGATCATCGCTGGTTGCTTCTTCGATGCGCTTCACCCAAGGCAATCTACAGGCTGCAGTTGACGGCAGGTTGATCTCGGTACAGGTCAGTGAGATTGGCAAATTTCTGCCGTTTGCCTGCAACAGATCTTCGCGTCATGGAAGCATGTTGCTGTCATCCGTGAGCCATCTGGAACTGTATGCCTGCGACCCACAAATGTTGGGAACAAGCAGCTGCCGTGAATTGTCCGCAGTCGGCTTGCTGTTCATGCGACATATGGCTACATTCCAACATATTGCAAGTAGGATCGAAGGGAACGGTCAAGTCCACACGTCAGAACTTTCAGATCATTGGCTGCCAGATTTCGAGGGGTATGGCAGTGAAGGTGCACAAGCGTTTATTGGGGAAGGTTCAGCTGGGGCTCAACGCTTCGGGACTGTTGAGCTGCCAAATACATGATGGTCGTCACTCTGATGAGCCCCTTTTTTAAGGTCGTGTCTTGGCGGCTTTTCTTGGTTTTGATGCATTTGCCACGCAGGCAAGATTTCCCTGCAACTTTGGTGGACACAGATGCGGTCTCAGCTTCACGAGTGACGTGCTAGGCTGACCTCCAGTTAGATGCATGCGAACTCCCAAGCAGTAAGCAGGTTGTCTACGCCCGCTTCTTCTTGGAAGCCTTGAACAGGCACTTGCTCCTTCAACGTGGCACCTTGCATCACAACTGGTTTACCGGTTGCCCCCGAAGCTCGAATGACCAAGGCATTGTCACAGACCTCCCGCTGCCTTCCGCCTCTGAAAAGGAAGATGCATCCTTCAGCATGCTGCACGCACTGAAGTCCTTTCAAGTCGCGACTTGGGCCGAAGCTGTAGCTGTTGTAGCGTTGCTGGCCAGCTCGGCGTTGGCTGGGCTTCAAGGTGAATCCAGCTGAAGAAGCATTGGCGCAGTGAACGGTACTTCTTCACTGTGCCAACTCTAGGAACCGGGTCACCGAAGGTTTACTTGAGCCACATAAATTGGGACCCTTCCAGCCCCACAGCGGATGAGTTTCTGCTACACAGACATCGTCACCGCCGTGTTGTGTCGCTGATTTGCGTCTGTGGGGTTGGAGCCATGGGGGCTGGTGACAGCATCCCTGGCCCCAGAGTTCAAGCTACCAAAGTGTTTAAGCGGCGTGCCTTTTCTGAAGACTTGGGTAGCCGAGCGGCAGGCCAGTAGTGGCTGACGCTGTGCCTGAGCCTTTCGGCGTCTTGTCGTCGCCGTGCCGTGTTGTGTACGGTCTCTTTTTCAACCATTGACTGGGGTCCCGAAGGGACTTACCTGTAGCATGCTTGAAGTCGTGCCAGCAAAATGCGAGTGCACTCCCGTGGAATCGCAGTTTTCTGACGCTCCTGGTGCCAGCACTGAGGTTTCTGCTATTTTGCCAAATTCGCATCTTCACGCGATTTGGACAGGCCCTCAAGTGTCGGTGTGGCAAGCACGGGATCAACACTGAGTCGACTGTTCCATGTTCAGGCCAGAAATCGCATCATGCACAGGCGAGTATTCAGCCGCAGCGATGAGCTAATCAGCTAAACAAGATCAGCAGAGGTGGGGTAGGAAGTTTGAAAGGGGAAGCCGGCGCAGAGGCCATGTCCAGCTTGTCAAAGAAATCCCTCGAGCCAGGCGGAACAAAGCAGCAGCAAGCATTCTTCCCTTCCTTTTTGGACAGGAATCCGCAAAAACCTCCAAGAGCTTCAAGAAATTTCACCAGATGCGCGGGCGGTAGGGCGCTGCTGATCCCGACGGTCTCTCGTCATGCCAACTAACAAACTCCAGCCTAAACCGAGCCAGCTGTTCTTTTCGCGGTGTTGGGTAAAAGCGGCTGTTTACTAGACATACACAGACTTGAGCTGGAACCTGGGCAGGTGCTAGTCGTCAATATGTTGCCAGTCCCCGAGAGCATTGACTCGTGTGCTTTAGCCTAGCACAACCAGGAGTGGTGAAGTTTACTGCAAGCGCATTCAATGCAAGCCGTACATACTCGGCCGCTCGAACGACAGTAGCGCAGCGTAAGACTCCGAAGCTCATGAGTCACTCGTCAACATGAGGTTCGCCCTCGTTTTCGCGTTGGTCTGGATTCCGGCAGCTCTTGAACTGTGCCGCAACATGCAGTGCAGGCATGGGCCTTGGGCTGCTTTGCACCCTTTATGCGTGGCTGTACTTCGGAAGCTCTTTTCATTCTTTTCACACACCGAAGACAAGCCGATTCCGAAGCGACCGATGCACACGGAACCCGGACCACAAAAGTATGCAGCGCGCATCCTGGAGACCTCCGCAGCGTGCAACTGCGCTGGCAGGAGGCGCAAGACGTCAGCCACGGCATGCCCGGCAGATGGCGAGGAAGGCGACAGCGTCGTTCTTCCACTTTATTGCTGTAGTGCGTGGAACCTTTCCTGCGCTTTGCGTTCAGAGGCTACGCTCTGGGACTTCTCGGAGGGCGGCCCGCTCAAGGTGTCTTATGTTTGCCTCTGCATTCTCTGAAGGTAGGGAGTAGGGTGCCCAACACGCCGTGGTGCAAGGCGCGGCCATGAATGGAGTGGTGTCAGCAGGATTCCTGAGGGCACGGCGTGCCTGGTCTTGTGCTGTCATCTACCAAATCCTAAGTCCCAGCTACACGTGTAGCTTTCGTCCACGCAGTGCTGGAGTTGCTTGCGGCTTGTAGGAGCCTCGTCCAGATCCCCTGAGCGCATCATGATGGACTGCGCAGTGCTTTTTCAGCGGCAGTTCCATAAATTCCATCGGCCAGTGGAATTGAGTGAGAGGAGCTGGAGGGCTCCAGTCAAGGCACGCTTTCTCCGTCGCTTCGGGCGCACGATCTCTTTCCGCGAGGCTTCTCGGCGCTTCAAGGCTCGGGTGCCGACCAGCTTTTGCCTCGGAGGTGACTTGCACAGCTCACTGCCTGTTTTCCCCGAGGCTAGCAGATTTTCCTGCGTCAAGCGGCCTTCAGACGATGTTGGGATGATCCTCAATTGTTCATAGCTCACATAGCTCACAGTGCTCAAGACGACTTCTTGGGTCTGGGTGAAATCCATTTCCCTTTGCCTTCGCTCGATTTGAGAAATCTCTTCGAAGCAGAGCTTTTCGGCTTCTTCTCTGATTGGGAAGTGGAGATGCGATAATGACCGTGCCCGCGATGCCTGTTCGCTGGTAGCAGCGGTGCGGGCAGAAGACCGGCGTGATATGGATTAAGCCGACACAGAAGAAGTTTCCAGATGCCAGGCCGAAGCTATCACACTCAGCCGAGCTTGCGAAGGAAGTATGTTTCGAGAGCGCTGCTTTTCCGCTGCCGCTCTGCTCTGCTCCTAGAGACCCTAGCGACTTAGCTGCCAAGAGTAAGCGCGTGTGCTTTGGATTCGTGCTGCCGCCGCGTCTTCGAAGCGAGTCGGACTCGGCCTTGGTCTTGGCGTTGGCCCCTGGCCAGGTTTTCCTCAGCTTTCCCTATGACTTCGACTTCGAGCTCCCTTTCCTCCCGAGCCGAGGGGGCCTTTCGAAGCGTTCTTCGTTTTGTGCCTGGTAGGGGCCTTTCGGGCTCCCTTTCGGGCTCAGGCCTTCTGGGTGAGCCCCGAGAGGATCGCCCTGGCAGGCAGGGAGGGGTAGACGGCCCGGTCGGCGCTTGGCTTTGCGCTCAGCGTGGTGTCAGAGTTGGATTTGCATTGTGGGGCTTGACGTGCAAGGCTTTGGGCACGACCAGGGCTGGGTGTTCGTTTGCAGAGGGGACGCAGCGAGTTCATGAAATTTCGCTCCTGAAGTCATCGTTGCGGCTTCAATCAGCGCCGCTCTTCTCGCATTCGGACCTCAGCCACGTCCCCAGACAATCGTCAGCGTGAATTTGTTCTACAGCGTACGGAATCCACCAATACCTCAACAGATGGATCTTCAGTTGAGGTCGCCGACACCTCCAGGCATCCTCCGCAAGGATGCGCCAGTGGTGGTGTGCCGGGCATGGTCCAACGTCGGTGCATTAGATTGAGGTTAGTCACATCTGCTGAAGTCCAAGCCCACCTCCTTCACCTGTTGAAGTGTTGGCACTGCCACTTCACGATCTGCTCACTGTTGATGTCCTGTCGCAGCCTGTTGCATTTCTGCTGCCAGGTTGTGCCTCAAGCGCCAGACGGCCCAGATGCCTCCGTTTGAAGCTAAAGCCACGAGCGTCGCAGCCCAGGCCAGGATCCCTGATGCGCCGCGAGCCACGGACCGAGCTACCGCCACTCGGCACGGAAAGATTCGCCCGAGAGGATTGGTTCATCGTTCATCTTGGCTCGCAGAACGGGCGCTTTGCAAGATTAGTCTGTAAGCAGGCTGCAAATCGATTCGCGCAAGCGAGCCCTAGACTGTGCGCACAGAAGCAATGCTTCTGCAAAACCCTGGTTCGGTGGGCCGAGGGCCGCAGGCCTCAAGGCTTGCGGCCTTATGGTTGCTGCTCTCTTGGAGGAGTAGGTTCGTGAGACATCGAGATACACAAGATGGCGGGGGCGCAGCTGCGCGGGAGTATTGCGGTCGGCCACGGAAACCCGAAGTGTCAAAGTGGCATAGGGCACCATCTTGCGGAATACGAGAATGATGTGCAGCAAGCATGGACGGATACATGCCTTGACAGGGAATGTGTCCATTGCCTCTCGCCCGTCTGTGAGGGGGAGACGGTTTCCGTTGGTACCTGTGCAGATTGCTTTGAGGCCGGTGGTGCCAACAGAGCGCCCGGTCGAGTGGGGGCACCTGATGCGCAAGGAGGCGAAGGCACGCCAACGGGGAAGCCTTAAAGCCTTCAAGAACGCGCCCTTTAAGGCTCCTACTGTACAAACCTTGCAAATGCCGAAGCCACAATGTGGGGATCCTTCTTGGGCTCAACTCCGAGGTCTCAGGGAGGACTTAGATATCTTAGATGGATGCTTCAAAAGCGAAGTTCCCAGCGGCGGACTTCAGGCTTCAGGGTTTGAGTTCCTGATGTTTTCTGATACGGACTTTTCAGTCACCCACTCTGCCGAAGCACCATCTAGAAATGCCAGCGACGACAACAAGCAGACATTGCTCCTCGCCGTGCCAGTTCAACATCTGGAGTGGCTGAAGCTGCTTGTAGAAGAAGATGCCGCGCATTGCCGCGCATCAGGATGCAGTTCCTGTTGTGACGGATCGAGGCACGTGCCCTGGAGGGAGCTCCATTTTGCGATGGCAAGAGCATGTAAGGAGCATGGCAGAGCATCGGACTGAGTTGCGACATTTTCTGCAGTAACCGAGGCTCAGGTTCCACCATGTACGTCGCGGCGGTATTTGCGGTTCTCGCGGTTTGGAGCTTCGGGCAACAACTCAGGACACAGCTCGAGTCTTCATTATTGAAACTGCAGCAATGGCAGAACACTGATGGGGGGGTCAATTCTGACTTCGTCCTCAGATGTGCTAGGAGCACCTGGAAGCTGCTTCTCCAGGCATGGAGCACGTCAGTTCTAAATGCTAGAATCTGCTAGAACTGCTGTAACACTCAAGCTTGACTTCCAACAGTTCTTCTGTGCCTCGAGGGTTCTGGATTTCACGGCATGCTTGCGAAGAAGCAATGAATCCGTACTCGGGGCCGAACAATGTGCAACACATCCAAAATGATGTCTCATCTGATGGCCTCAGCTTTTTGGAGCCTCAACAAGTATCCGAGAGACATCAGTCTGCAAAGCCCTGTAAGCATATTCAATTTTGCTTCTTGCAGTAGGGTTGTTTAGAAATTCTGGGAATGTGAAGTATTTCTTCTTGGAGTCGCAAAAAATGCACAGGGTTAATCATAATTGATCTTTTTGATGTCAAGCTCGTCTTATTATTCAGTTGTTCTCTACGTCATAGAAAAGCTTCGCCCTGGAGGCACAATTTTTAGGTATCTCTAATTAAAATATACACTTTTGGATATGTTGATGGATTCAATCCGCTTCATAGAAATATAAATAGCTGGGATAAACTAAGCTTGGTCGCTATACCAAAAAATTTATATCTTAGAATGGATGAAGGGAAGAAGAATAGTTCTTATATTCATAGTCTAATGTTTGATTCTTTATTCAAAATATAGGTTTAGACATTACTATACTTAAAGATTATCTCCATAAGTACATGCGTGTTAGGGTGTGTTTTGGCTTTGCGGCAAGCTCTTCTGATGGCCTCTCTCCTTTTCCGGGCTGTTTGGTCTTTCGTGAAGGCTCCACGGGGGATTCTCGAATAATTCCTGGATTTTTGAGTTTTTTTAACGAATATCCCCGGACTCGAAATTTCCGGGAGTTTTTGGGAATCCCCGGACCAACCCCCGCAACAATCGAACCTGCCTTGGCTCATAGATTTTTCACGTCGAAGTTTAGGACCAACTAGACCTCGAATCTACAAGCCGACATGTGGAAACGCAAGTTGCGGGCGAGAGCGTGTGTGTCGTGGGGAGTGTCGCGGAGTGGCGTGTCGAGGTGTGTCACGGGAGTGTGGGCGTGGGCGGAGTGGCGGGTGAGGGCGTGTCGCGGAGTGGCGGGCGGAGCGGCTGGCGAGGGCGTGTGAGTGAGCGCGTTTTTTGACGTGGGGAGTGTTGCGAAGGGGCGGCCCTTGGGGCGTTTGTGTTGGGGGGTGTGGCGTGTGGAAAGAGCGTTGTGGAGTGATGGGGGAGGGTTTGTCGGGGTCGTGGGGAGTGTGGGTGAGGGCGTTTCGAGGAGAAAATAGTGGAAAGATGGAAGAGGGATAAGGTGAGCGGGGATGGCGAAGATAAATTGAGAGTGATGATATATGGAGATTCGGTAGGAGATTTGAATAATATCTATATCTATATATTTTATATGAAAATAGAGAATTATATTGTGCGATTTTGAACTATGAAAATATAAATTCAAAAAGAATTTTTATATATTTTTATCTATAAATTTGCGTATATATTCGTTATATTGATTTATAGGTTTTATAAAGAAAATTTTAGAAAATTGAATAATAAATTTTTATTTCGAAATTTGATTTATTATATGATATTTAAAATATAAATAAGATCTTAATTATATTTTATTTTGCAAGTAATGATTTTCGAATTTTGAAATTAATATTTCGGGTTTATAAAGATGTAAATATAATTTATATTAATATATATATAATATAATAATATTCTTCGTATATATGATAGCTATATTTCTCTAGAGTAGAAAATATAATCGTAATAATTAATTAATAT